CGATACGATTATGCCCAACCCTAGTTTTTGGTCTGTGGGGGGAAACCAGAGTACCTGGGAGACTTCACCTAAAGAATAATAGTCTCTCTTAATCTGAGCCAYAAGGCAAACAGATCAGAAACTGCAAGAGCCGGTCGGAACCTGAAAGAGACGTTTGAAGCTGGTTAAAAACTGCTTGGAGCCTGTCAGACCCAGTTGGTTCCAGGTTGTATAAGGAGTTGGACTTCCTGGTGCTTTCACTGGTGGATATGGTCTCTTTAGCTCCTTGTTTCCTCTTGACTTGTCTCCTCTCCTTGAACCCCGCCTTGGCCTGTCAGTATTTCAGTGGTTTTAGATTAGAAAGTATGTTAGACACCAGAACCACGTCGTCTTTGTGCAGGAAGTTTGAGAGTGAAGCATTGTGGGAGAAAACTGTGTGGGATGTTGGACTTCCTGTGGAAAACCAGAGGATGACAGAGACACCTGCAACGCCCCCTACTGGCTCTGCAGAGAATAAAACAACTCATTCTGTTCAGCTCAAGGTTTTTTTCCCTAACAAATGATCTTAAAATCAGTTTTATTGTAGTTCTGATGTTTTTATTGTTGGAACAGTTTGTTAGCTTTTATGTTTTAATAAAGTCTGTATTTTATCTTTAATCCTGCTTCTTTTCTTACATTTTGTTTTGAAATGCATCTGTTCAGGGGTCAGAAGTGTGTTTAAAGCTTCATGTTTTAGTTCACTTCTGACTGAAAACTCATGCAGTCTGAAAAATATCTAAACTTTTTAAAACAAAAAGGATTTATTCCACATATTTTCACTTGTTTGATTTTTAAAAGAATTAAAGTTTGAGTCTTTATGCAATTTTGTGTCAGATTTACTTGTTATTTCTTTGTAAAAATCTTTAACTCGCTGCAGGTCTTAGAATCAGAAATGATCAGATTTCCTGTTTCTTTTATGGAGTTTGAATGCATCATAGGATGTATGGCAGGCCGCTTCAGAAAGCATCTGTTACCATGACAATGGCTCCCTGCAGCTGCATCACTGAACAGGAAGAAGACCAGCTGCAGGGCTGTGTCCTTTCAAAGTAAAAGCCAGGTGGTGGCGCACTGCTGTGTGTCGAGCAGCAGAGGGCGTGAGAGACACGAGGCATGATGGGAAGTTTTACTGTAGTATTTATATTTATCATTTTTAACATTTACAGAAATTTAAATCAAAATAAAAGATTGACTTTTTTATCTGTTAATATTTAAAACTCAGAAAAACAACAAATCTATCTAAACAGAAGTATTTCTACTCRTATTTATGTTTCAGAAATTGTTTAATTGTTAGTTTCAGTATTTTAAAAGAAGGAATAAATGGATTTAACTTAACTTTATTATTTTTTGCATACTTTAATCTTTTAATTTCAGTTCATCTCACTACAATTCATTTAACATTAATTAACCTTTTGATGCTTAAATAAAACCCTTTTTGACTTTTATTCAAACTGTTTTTATTTTTCTGACTCCGTGTCGTCGTGTTTAAAACTGAGATGAGTTCTGAGCCTCAGACTGGACCTACGGTGTCCCTGAGGGCTCAGAACAAAGACCACCGCCCGTCTGTGTGCTCACACAGGCCTCGCCCCCTGTGGTCTCCATGGTAACGAGTCGGGATGGGGCCGGTCTCCTCTCTCTTTGAAGCAGTTTCAGGTTTGGTTTTCCCCCTGCTGGGAGACCTGATGTTTCCACAACAATAACAACAAACAAACAAAGGTGTAATTGTTTTGTTGTTTACAACGGTTCGGTTTTACCTGACGTTTCTCCTGTTCGACTGATTTCTTCTCTCGTCTGCTGCTGTTTACCTGCTCTCATCATCCTTACAGGTGAGAACAACAAACAAACATTTGTTTGTTTCGGTGGTTATTGACATGTTTGTGTCAGGATGTGTTGAAGGAGAACAAGGTCAGAAAGATGAAGAGCTGCTGCTCCTCCTCCTCTGACCCACTTTCTGTCTCCTGAGAGTCAGGAGGGGGAGGAGCTCTGAGGACAAGTGCAGGAGGAACACGATGCTGGACCCAAGTCTTGATGAGACCTGGTGTCAGACTGGATCTGGGCCCTGGTGTCAGGCTGTGTGTCCGGTCCAGTAATTGGCTCAGTAATCCACAGCAGGGGTTGACATAAGAGCTTTTAGGTTGTCAGACGACCTATTTTTGTTTGGGACAACCACATCCTGGATTTAAGTTTGCCACCATGACGCCAGATTTCTGTCATCTGAGAAAACGAAAGGAGTAAATCCATTCGACCAGTGATGATACTGGTTTTAAACTGACGGCTCTTTCAACCAATGAAGAGAACCACAGTGAGTGTTTTACCCGATCAGAGCAGAGTCGGGTTGGTCAGGTCTGATTAAAGTGGTGTTTCAGAACAGAACCTAGTGAGGTCCAACTCAGTTCTACATAAATAAACATTGATTTATTTTAGGTTAATTTATTTATAATATCAAATAAAACCTGCTTCTGATTGGTTAATCCAGTTTAGATGAGAGTATTTTTATGGGTTGGACCATATTCTAACTGGGTTGTTTGTGGCCCGTGGACCTTCAGTTCAAAACACTATTTTTTAGATGTTTCTGATCAGAAGGACTTTCCAGAACACTGATGTGAACTYGGGTTGAAGCCGTAACAGAACCAGGTTCCTGTCAGATGGTTCCTGTAGAGTTTAAATGAGTCCATTGATTCTGTGGAGTGAAACACAGCCAGCTACATTAACGTTTAGTGATTGTGCCGCCATCTTGGTAGGAGCTACATGGTGTCCTTACACCCTGGCAGAGTGGCAGCAGATCACTAAAAGAACAGAATAGACCTTTATTATCATTGAACACATGTAGCAGTCCTGTGTCCCAACAGATAAGACAAATATAAAYACCAACATAGTAAAAACTCACACAAAAAGGAAAAAATAAATAAATAAAGCTTCTGCATTTTTTAGCATCAGTGACAGATTATGGACCATATTTTCGTCTGACTACATGCCATGAAATTATCTGTGTTAAAGTGATCAGTTCATTTATAACTTTCAGAAACACAAGTAATTCTGTAGAACACTAAGTCTATTCAGTTTCAGAACCTTTTTAGGAAGAAACAGCAGGACGGACTCATGTTCTGTCAGGTCACTAAAAGTTTAAACCTCTGGACCTGAGTGGTCAGAAACAGCTGGTTACTGTGGATGAAATTCTGCTCATTATCTTGCATAATAAAAATCTGTTGAGTTCTACACTGTCCCATTAAGTAAATTACCATATTTATTTTTACACTGGGAATATTTGTCTAATCCACTGAATTATCCCATTATTATTATTACTGGACTTCTGTAGTTGCTGTAAAAATAAGGTGGGGAAGCCCAGTTTATATCAGATTACTTAATTTATGAGGAGAAAGATGACATAAAGTTATTAATCTGTGGCTGCATAGCTCTGGTCAAATTTAACAGACATGTAAAGAATTTAATTAAAGTTCTGGCGTGGTCGGGTTACAGTGATTACAGAACTTGGTCACTTGATCACAGTGGTGGTGTTGGCTCAGTGGTTTTGGTTCTGACAAGGCAGACCGGGCCTGTAGGGAGACTCATGATCGCACTTTATGTGGGATGATTCATGATTGTTTCTGTAAAATATGGAGCAAGCTGAAGCGTTAACATGTGAGGGAGCTCCTCACAATATGGCTGCCATAAATCTCACCTACTGCTATCAGTGGCCGCTCCAGTGTTTCTGTGCTCCGCTCCTGGTTTTCTCCGGGTCTTGTGTGTGTTGAGCTCAGAGAGCGGCAGGACTCCCCGGGTCTCCCGTAGCAGAGTTTCTGTCAGTCTGTCAGCGGACTGAAAGCAGAGCAGCGCTCTGTCTCCGGGTGTTCCTCCCCCCGGTGTTTGGGCACTTTGTTACCGGTGTTACGGCACTCTCTCCCCGGTGTTTGGGCACTTTGTTACCGGTGTTGCGGCGCTCTCTCCCCGGTGTTTGTGCTCCTGCTGGAGGAGACCGGCTCCCTGCTCTCCTCTCTGCCGGGAATGAGCTCACACAACTGGAACAGAGCCTCCGGCTCCGTACGGGACAGGGAGCTGGACTGAGAACCGTGGATTTCATGGAGGGTCGGAGCCTGGTCTTGCAGAGTTCGGACAGAGGAAGAAGACTTTCTCCGCTGGGATGAAGAGGGGGTGCGTTTCCTGTGACGGAACTGTGGATTTGGATTATAAAATGGATTCTGGTGTTTAATCTGAAGGGGATCTGGTCTTTGGAAAGGTTTTAATTCTGAGCGAGTCTGGTCTTGGATTCTACAGAACCCGTTCTCTGCTGAGGTGATGTACCTGCTGGACCAGATGGAAAGAGGAACTCCTCAGAGGAAAACGGTCTACAGGATCTCCCTGACCCTGGTAAAGAGGGAGACCCTGGATGATTCTGGGGGGAAGTCTGGGTCCTTCAGGAGGAAGGACTCAGTTCTGTTGGAGGAGCTGAAGGAGGTGCAGGATGAGTCCGAGGACCTGTCTTGGTCTCGTGGCTTCATGAGGACTTTCAGAACCTTTAGCACAGGTCAGCTGGAGCTGGGCCGGCTGAAGGTGTCCAGGAAGCTGCAGAAGGTCCGCAGTCCATTGGTAGAGACCCGGGGTCCAGCTCCAGGCCAGGAGGATCCATGTGGACCTAATCCAGATACCTGCGCTGGAACTGCTGTGGAGAAGAAGAAGAGGTTCCTGAAGACCAGGAGTGTAGAGGACAGGAGCTCAGAGCCTCCTGTGAGGTCCCCATCAGGGAACAACGGGACCCCCTCCAGTCCTGCGACCCCTCCTCTAAAACCAGGTTTCCTGCGCCGCAGCTTCAGTTTCAGACACAGGATCAGTGGAGACCTGCTCCGTCTGCRGACCCTCTCAAAGGACCATGAACACCATAGTTCTGGATCCCTCAGTCCAGCTGCTGCAGAGACCCCGGCTCCCAGATCCTCACAACCCCCCAAGGAGAAAAGTCGGACCCTGGAGGTTGGAGCTGTCCTCAATAGGACCGACTCCCTGACAGAGCTGATCCGCTCTGAGAGGGCAAGAGGGGCCAAGAACCGGACCCTGGACAATAGTGACCTGCTGGAACTGGCAGGGGGTGCCCGGTCCTCTGACAGGAAGCTGACCCGGTTCTTCAGTGGGATCTTCTCCAGGAGAGACAGACCGTCAAGTCTGTCTGGGAGTCCGATCCCAGGGAGGTCCCTGAGGCGCACCAGGAGGACTGTGGTGTCCCAGTCCAGTTCTGAGAGCATCAACGGAGCCAGCACCGAAGGTAACTATTCAAAATCTGGTCCTTAGCAGGTGGTCCGGGTGGTCCAAGGTGGTTCAAGATCAGTTAAGTCAAAACTAACTTTGTGTTGGTCTGGATCGGGTCTGGTCCGTTTGTTTGTTGGGTGGGGTCTCCTGGAGGTTCTGTTTGTTTTAGAGCCAGGAAAATGTTTGTTTACTGCTGGTGGATTCACTGGACCTGAAGCTGGTCAGGTCCAGTGCCAGGACCAGGACAGACTGGTACAGACCTGGACCAGATTAGACTGGTCCAAGCTCTGTGAAACCCCAGCAGCTGATGATGTTTAATCTAAACAAACTTCGTGTTTCCTCTCAGAATAAAACTGAGGGACTGGTTTCAGAGTTCTGATCAGACCCACTCTGTTCTGGTTCTGATGGACTGTTTGAGTCCAGCCTGAACTTCAAATCTAATTTATTTATTAAGAACATTTTAAACTAACTGTTTATGTTGAAAGATGGATTTAAAACTCAGATCAGGTCCAAGACTCAGAACCTGGTCCAGGTCTGGACCTCTTTCAGGTGGTTCTCCTCTTCCTGCCTCTCCACAGGGATCCTCCTCAGACCCTGAGGGGCCCAGGGCCTGGGGGTGGACCAGCAGGTTTTAGGGAGGCGGTCTGAAGTCCTGCACATTTCTGGGATTCCTCACAGGTTTCTGCACCTGTGTGTGTGTGTGTGTGTGTGTGTGTGTGTGTGTGTGTGTGTGTGTGTGTGTG